TTTTCCAATGTAGTCCTGTTTCTCTGACTGTGAATGGCTGGATGTGCTCTCTTCATTCTCTGACATGGGAGCTGGGACGGAGCTCGTCTGCCTGGCTGTGTGTTTCCTGGACGGGGCCGCCTTCTGCAGTTATCTTTTGTATCTTTGCTTCTGTCTCCTTGAACCCCAGTCAGCCTCTGCAGATTGAAATAACTTCAACTAATTTTCCTCAACCAAATCAACTTTTACCTTTTTTATTTTTGTGGACACATTCTGGTGGAGAGGAAAAGGGACAAAGGAAAAAAATATATAATAACAAATAAACAAACCCTCGTGCTGTAATCATTGGCTCTTCACCAAATTAGTTGTATACAAGTTTAGTTTTGTGTTAGAACTGTGAGAAGGAGATGCATTTTAATGAAACTTCTTATTGGACCTAGTAGATTTGATCAGTTTAGGATTGTGATACACAATAGAAGTTGTCCCCTTTAAAAGCAACCCCTCCCCCTCCTCATTTGCAGATTCAGACAGTAACGAATACTGAAATGGTAAAAGAATAAAAAGAAATAAACAAGGTGGAGAAAATACAAGGAGTAAAAAAGATGAAGAGTTAAAAGAAAAAGGCACCTTTTTAAGGGTTATTTAAAAGTTTATGGCTCATTGTATAATTACATTATTGGCTATAATATCTGTTTTCTGTATTTTCTGTATATTTTATTGAATGCCTATTTAGTCATTAAGTATTTACCTATTTATGTATCCCTTTTATTATGTTGCAGTTAGTCCTCCATATGTCCTAATGACATCTAATCATCAACTGCATTTTTCTAATAAAAAAGTTATTAAAATTTGAAAAATTTCATTTTCTGATTCTATTTTGTAAGCACAATAAACATTTTTTGACATGTCTAAATATTTTTCATCCTTCTCTGATTCTCATATTTCTCACTTTATTAAATTACATGTTATATTTTACTTCCTTTTATATAAATAACATTACTCTGTATTCTGTATTATGTTTACCTTTTTCATTTCGTATTGAGTCCAGTCTGATCTAATCTCAATCTTATTAATAATCCATCTCTGTGACCATACATCTTCAGTAACAATCGGATTACAGAGATCTGAAATTCATTTTTAGACATCCAGAATGTTTATTGTAAATATGAGTAATGTAATTTCAGATATCTGAAAGTAACAGCCCAATACACACAAATGGGGAAAAGTGAGATAATTTGTCCCAGTAAGATTTACATTTCAGATATCTTAAATGCTCATTTTAGATAGGAGGAATACTATTAAAGATATCTGAAATACAAACAGATATTTGCTAAAACTGCCACCTAAAATAAGTAAAGATTTGTAGTTATCTGAAATGTAGTTCTTACTTGTACAATTTTGATTCTGGAGTATTTAAAATATAATTTCTACTGGTACAAATGCAATTAGTCAGTTTATTAGTACTATTCAGCCTACCTATTTTATATTAAAACGGCACCCCATTTATTTTTTGAATATTAGTCAAAATCTGTTTTTAAGTATGCAAAACTGTATTTTGCTAATAGGGACTAGCAGTAACTCTAATATGGAGATCTGAATTAGATTTCATCCTCGTCAGAGTTCATTTTTAGATATCTGAAATGTTAATTTTGACTAGGAAGAAATGAATTGAGACATCTTAAATAAATATTCAGTCAAGCTAATAAATGCCAAAAGGGCCACTTTAAATTTTTAAAGATTTCTAGGTATTTGAAAGTTTATTCATACTAGTACAATAATGGCAGCCTGAAATGTAATTTTTGCTGGAAAAAAAATGTAATTAAGGATATCTATATGTACATTTCTGGCTATTAGGAATGTAGTTTTGACCAGGAAGAATCTTATTTTAGTGATCAACAAATGGAACAATAGAGAGGAGAGCGCTTCTAATAAATTTCAAAACGGCATGCCATACTTTATTTGCCGGTGTCAAGGGAAGCTCTGTTCAATAAAGTTTTTTTTAAAAGTGACGCAACCCCATGGAAGGTGGCCGGTCAACCAGCCAATCAAAACAGTCCAAAAATGTTGCACATGCGCACTTTGCTCTAAACCTACAGTAGTTGACACGACTTTGAGAACCTTTCACTCGGTAACGTGATTAGCTAAGTTTATATAAAGGATGTCTTTTTTAATTTGACCTTGGGATTTAAGACGAAGACTGTTATTTTAACTTCTGAATATTTCGTAAAGGTAAGAAGTTTTAGTTGCTCAGTTCAGGAAACGTAAGCAGAGCTAAGGAAACACATTACACACATCATGGGAAGCGGTTAGCTTAATCTCAATCCTCAACTGAGCACCAGCAGTGTCGAGGTTTTCCGAGCATTCTTGGTTTTCTTAGTTTATTATAGTTTTTATCACCGCATGGTTTTGTTTTGGTTGGTGTGTTGACCGGCGGGATGTGTGTTAGCGAGGACTTCCCTGTTCTGCGTATCTTACTGTATTTTAAACTGACAGTAGCCTAGTTTATGTGCTATAGGTTACACCGCAGTGTGCTCTCATTATATCATCTATTACAGCATTAATAACACTTGCCTTCTTTTCTGTAGGTTGCTCTCAACCTTTCCAGTAGAATTTATGATCTTTTAAATCGTTTGAGGTCATATAAACTATTGCCAGAATAGAATAGAATAGAAAATCCCTTTATTGCCCCACAATGGGGAAATTCTGGCGTTTACAGCAGCAAAACAAAAAAATCTGGATCTTACAAAAATGTAAAAGAATAACATAATAGTGAATAGTTAAAATATAAACAATAAAAATAATGTAGTTTAGAGTGTTTTAACAATATAAAACTGTACCTGGAGAATAAATAACCAATCTACAGCTATGGATATGTTTACAGTAATGAATATTTGAACATAGCAGCAACATCAGAGTTGTGCAAAATGACAGCAGCATGTTGCTTAACTAACAAAGGTATAAACTGCAAAAATCAGCATGAATGTAGCAACTTTTTGAGGTTGTTGGGAACAGTGGTGGTTCTAGAGTCTTCCAGCTGCTGGGAGGAAGGATCTGTGATCACGCTCCCTGGTGCATTTAGGGTGCAGCAGTCTGTCAGTGAAGGAGCTCTCCAGTTCTGCAACAGCTTCATGCATGGGGTGGGAGACATTATCCAACGGAGAGGTTATTTTAGTTGGGATCTTTTTGTTTCCCACCTCCTGCACTGAGTACAGAGGGCATCCAATCACAGAGCTGGCCTTCCTGATCAGCTTATCCAGCTGCTTTCTCTCAGCTACAGATAAGACACTGCTCCAACAGACAGCTCCATAAAAGATGGCTGATGCCACAACAGGGTCATAGAAGGTCTTTAGGAGCCCCCCCTGAACTCCAACAGACCTCAGTGTCCTCAGCAGGAATGGTCTGCTCTGATCTTTCTCATACAGAGCCTCAGTGTTGCGAGTCCAGTCCAGTTTGTATCCAAATGGGTACTTATAGGACTCCGCTATCTCAATGTCCGTTCTCTGGATGCTCACTGGTGTCAGTGGGGTGGATCTGCTTCTGTGAAAGTCCAACCCAGAGAAATACATTTTCTTTCTGATAAATAGTTTTGATTCCAGCGTTTCCTGGGAAAAGTTTGGCTTTTGAATTAGATGATGCAACGTTTCATATTAATGTTCTTGTATTCCGACTATTGTTGTTCCTAAATTGATTTTCTGGTTTAATTTCTAGGAGTGCACCAATTTCCTAGTTCCTTTGAGAGCTGACCGAATCTCTCACATTTTCTTTTATTTTAGCCATCCAATCAGGAAAACGTTAATAAACTAAGATGGAAATGTTCTGTAGGATGCTTGGTGCAGTTAATATTCTTTGTCTCCATGTTAAATGTAGGAATTACATTTTATTTCTTATTTTTCTATTTAAACTGGCCCATAAACTTATCTATATTCTATGCAGCTCAAGCTGCTTGCATCACAGGTCCTGCACAGTGATGTTTTGTTAATACTAATGACTTAACAATTGATGACTAAACAGGAACATTGTGTTTTTTTGTTTGTTTTTTTGGCAGTGTTTGGACCGTAGATTACTGGACAGAGCCTCTATAGGGAAAAATAACATGCGATTGATTGCTGTATGCTTGTGTTTTTAGTTTATTTTGCATTTGGCTGATTTGTTAGCTGGTGAAATATTTAAGTAGGGAAATTGAATTCTAATGTAATACTTTTTTATTCAGAACATAATGTAAATAGTATTACCTTGTAAAAGCAAGTGTCAGTTATAATAGTAATGTAATAAAATATGCTCCTAAGCCACATCTCTGCAGCTGCTTTGATAGACTCATTATTGTACACCTTCAATTTTAACAGAGCATTTCCCCCCAGGTGTTAAAATAAGTGTTATTTTCAAATATTATGTTTGTCAATATACGTAACTACCTAAATTATAAATGATACATAAGTCAAACTAAAAACAAGGCTTTATTTTTGGTCTACTCTATAAAACCTCAAACTCAACGCTATTTTTGACATTTTTTATTGAAAAAGCTTCCTGGATGGGAAGCGAAACGTCTCCAAACTTGGAAACAAAGTCCAGTGGATTGTTTTTCTTAATACTTTTTCAGAATATATAGGTTAAAAGTTTAACATTTTTTTTTCATTTAAATGAACTTTTTTGTTCACTCTGGAAGATTATTTTTAGAATTGCGTTTATTGGCCTCCTCCATCGGTTTGCTTAGTTTTGAACAGGGCCTGACTATGAGTCGATTTGTTGAGTGGATGAGTGACAAAAAATATATATTTTTTTCAAAGTAATAATATGTCATTTGGCATTTTTATCATTAAACTTAGGTTAGGAAAAAAAATAAGTTAAAGGATTTGGTAGAAACAAAAACTGAGATTTTATTATTAAGCCCTAGTTTTGACTTTGAAACCTTTACACCAACTTAAACTAAAGCCTTATTGTGACCTCAAATACCCATTCTACAAATCTGTGGATTTTTTCCTGTATCCTGACTATCTAAAGAACCTATTTGTTAATATTTAGAGTAAAGGTCTGAAAGTCACCATGGGAGGGGTGGGACGTCATTTCCAACTGGTCCGTTTGGGAGGAGTATTAGATCTAGTGATAGTAGAAGCTGTTGTGTGCAGATTATGTTTAGATCTAACTGAGGTTTCGAGGGAAGTTGGATGAATTAGTGACTAAGTGAAATGTCGTATTGCAACATCTATGTAATCGTCTGCATGGGTAACCCAACTTTATTACATTTTGGAAAGTTGGAATGAAACATGATTATTTTACCTCATGTCTATTTTTTTGAATAAAACATAGGAACTCTTTTTAAACGAGAAACTTTTTTTGGTTTACAAATATTTATATATATATATATTTTATTTTTTTTTCTCCTTACCGGCTGTAGCATGTCTTTTTTCTGATGTTGGTATTTAGATCAGGGGTTAACATTTAGGATTTTTACCACTTGCTCTTCGGGCAAGTGACTTTCACATTTCATTTGCCCAGAAACCATTTTTACTTGCCCAGTATAATGTTTGATAAATATAGTTCCTAATATTCATTTTTTTTATATATATATCAATAAAACATGTTTGTTTTTTAAATGTTTTTTGTAATTCAGTATTTTTTAAGTTTCCAGGTTCCTGGTGTGTATATGCATGCGTCAGATAATGAACTCAAGCCTACATTACCGTGTTAACATGCTTTTCAATCCTTCCTGCACATTCTTTTTAAACTAAACTTTGCTTTAAACTGTTGTGTGCTTGGAAAAATATAAATTGTAATGTTAAAAATCTAAAAAAAACTTGACAGGTTAAAAACTTAAGATAAATCACAAGATAGAAGTCAATGTCACAAATGAATAACTTATTTTAGAGTCACAGTATGTTTATACAAGATAATCCTATTAATATAATGTGACTTTTCTAGAGAATCATTATACAGTTATTTTATACAGGGTTTCCACAGTCTTACATAATTTCTGAGAATTCCCTGACTTTTAACTGACTCAGGATTAGTTTTCCCTGACAAAATAAATGCAGCAACAAGACAATAATAATAACATAACAGGTCACCAATTTAACATGTTTAGCTCTATAACATTTAAATGCACCTCTCCAATGTTTGAGATATGATAGCGCTTTCTAGCTTGTTTGTCGTTTTGGTAACTACATCAAAATTACCGCTAGGTTGACAAAAATCACGCCATCTGGCGGAAAATCTCGCAGCTTTTTCAAATCGCGCGAGAATGTGTACAAAACAACAAAAATGGCGCCGGCTGGGTTGTTTTCAGCTAATGTCGGTGATTTTAAAGTAATTTTGAGTGATAAATATACTTTTTTGCGATCACTGCACTTGCCCGGCGGGCAAATGCAATGAAATTTGTACTCTCCTGACAATAAAAAGTACCTGCCCCGGGCGATCGGGCGATGGTTAACATCGAGCCCTGTAGATGTATAGAAACAGCTGAATACTGTTGGTAGCCCTGCTGAAAAAGCTTAAGCCCCCGTTACATGTTGACAATTTATCCAGCATATGCCTGACTGTGGAAAATCTGGCAAAAACGCATGCACACATTCAATAAGTTATGAGTACATTTTGTATAAGTCATGAGCACGCTGAAAGACGCTGGCACACCTCGCCATACGGCGAGTGCATCGAGAAATTTTCTGCATGCTTAAACTTTTCCACCGTATCCACTACATGGGCCATAAGTTACAGTTAAGTTATGTGATCGCTGACATACATTAAGTGTAAGTTACTCATAAGTCATGGCGTCTAGCTTATCCAAATCCTATGACCGGGTTTCTGTGGGTCTTTAGAAATGTTCAGTTTGACAAAATAAGTGCTGACATTTTGGAAGAGTTGCTCAATTTGTGGCTTGACTCCAAGTCAGAGTTGAACAGGAAGAACAAACAGCTCCATGCCAGACACAGTGAAGATAATGAAACTGGTAGACAAAATAAAATATGTTGATACTAAGAGGAAAACAACTGAAGTATCACGTATGGACTATAAATTACACCTCAGTTATGAACGAGGTAAATTTGAATCCGTTGCATTAAAAGCATCGAACTTCTCTTATCACCTCGGTCTCATTTCTTGAAAAACTCATGACACAGATATGCTTCCCTTTAGGACAGAGGTCTTCCACAGGGGGTCTGCGACCCCTAGGGGCTCAATGGAGGTACTGCATAGGGGTTGCAAAAGTTTTGGTTATTAGACTTTGTTTTTTATATTCC